AGAACATCCTAATCTTGGCCACACACTTACCCTAATACAGGGCTTTTCAACCAGTGGTACGGGTACCACCTGTGGTACATTGGCATCTGGCAGGTGGTACACGGCCATCCTACAAAAGTGGGAGGGAGGGGAATGAACTGAACCAGTGGCAGTATCACACAAGCCTGAACGAGAGACGGCTGGAGCTGCAGGGCTGTCAGGGCTCAACGGAAGCGCCAGGATCAGCACCAGGCTCCAGCTGGAGCTCAGCACTGATCCTGGTGCTTCTGCTGAGCCCAGAAGCACCGATCAGCTGGAATGTTGCAGCCTCTCCAGGGTCTTGTGATTTACATTCAGGTGCTTGGCAATTGATTCATATTTATGACGGTCAGTGTCCCAGGGTCACGGGAAGGGACCAAAACCTGCTGCAGCCACCCAGCAGACGGGGGGGGGGAATAAAAACCAAACACCCCCACCCCCGCCGCCAATCCTCAACAGAAATGCTCACAGCAATGAAAACCTCGGACAGGAGGAAGAGTGCCGCCGGGCGGGCAGGCAGGTGTCTTGCTCGGCTGTGGCTTGGGGGGCACTTTTTTCAGTGCCATTATAACTTCCAACAGTCACTACGCGAACTGTTGTAAGTCGAGGACTACCTGTACTTTATCACTTTTTTCTTTTCTTTTTTTGGTCAAGTTTTTGACACCTTGCTAGGCGACGGGTGGTCCTCGGATGTTGCCGTATCCTAAAAGTGGTACAATGGGTGAAAAGATTGAAAAGCCCTGTCCTCATAGTCTCAACCAATTGATCTCTTTGTCTTCCTCATCTTCTCTCTCCTTTAACTGAAGCATTGTCTATTTCTGCACAAGCTTTTCCTAATAACCTCTTCTCCATTTTCTTTTTTCTTTTTTTCTCAGTGTGTCTCTCCTCCCTCTTACCTCCTAGCTTTAATTTTTTGGTCCTTGTGATTCTCTCCCCACCCCCCCTTTTTTTCAAATTCTGTCTTCGACCTTGTTCCTCTCTGACAGAATTTTAAGTCTCCCTACAATCTTGAGAGAGACTCAGTCAGGGTCTCTCTCTCTCTCTCTCTCTCTCTCTCTCTCTCTCTCTCTCAACTTGGCTGTGTCCAGGCTGGGCACCAGGATGTCTGAGATTGGATAAGTTTTCATTCTGGGCTAAGGCTCCTATCAGCGTCAACTCGAGTATCTTGCTCAATAGTAGCAACTGTGAGAGGGACCTCGGAGTCCTAGTGACAATCACCTAAATATGAGCCAGCAGTGTGCTGTAGCTGCCCAAAAAGGCCAACACAGTGCTGGGCTGCATTAACAGAGGGATAGAATCAAGATCAGGTGAAGGGTTAATACCACTTCACAAGGCCTTGGTAAGGCCACACTTGGAATACGGCATCCAGTTTTGGTCACCAAGATGTAAAAAAGATGTTGAGACTCTAGAAATACAGAGAAGAGCAACAAAGATGATCAGGGGACTGGAGGATAAAACATGTAAGGAACGGTTGCTGGAATTGGGTATGCCTAGTTTAATGAAGAGAAGGACGAGGGGGGACAGGATAGCAGCCTTCCAGTATCTCAGGGGCTGCCCCAAAGAAGAGGGAGTCAAGCTATTCTCCAAAGCGCCCGAAGGCAGGACAAGAAGCAACAGATGGAAACTAACCAAGGAGAGAAGCAACCTAGAATTAAGGAGAAACTTCCTGACTGTTAACCAGTGGAACAACCTGCCTCCAGAAGCGGTGGATGCTCCAACACTGGAAGTCTTCAAGAAGAGACTGGACAGCCATTTGTCTGAAATGGTATAGGGTTTCCTGCCTGAGCAGGGGGTTGGACTAGATGACCTCCAAGGTCCCTTCCAACTTTATGTCATCATCATCATCATCATCATCTCCTAAATCAGGAAGACCATTGACCTATAAAGAAGTATGTGTGCCAGAGTCATCCTCATTCTCAACGTCCTCAAACTGGGAGAAAACGTACCACCAATAATACTAGTGTGTTACTTCTAGTAGTAGTAATCTACCCTTCACATTACCAAAATAATGTAGAACTTACAACAGTTCATTCAGTGGCCATTCAAAGGTACAACGGACGGAAAAACGTGACTTGTGATCGTTTTCACCCTTTTGACCGTTGCAGCATCCCCAGGATCACGTGACTTATATTCGGATGCTTGATAACTCACATTTATGACAGCTACAGTGTCCTGGGATCATGTGATCCTTTTTGCGACCTTCTGACAATGGGGAAACCACATGTATTTAACAACCATGTTACTCAGTTAACAACTGCAATGAGTCCGTTAACAAAAATGTGACAAGAAAAGTGGTAAGATGGGGCAAAGCTCACTTAACCAATTTCTCATTTAGTAACGTAAATTTTGGGCTCCACTGTCGTAATTCGAGGACTGTGTTTCAATTCCAATTCTGCTCAACCCACTTCTTCACACTATGAATGGTCTTACTAGATGGCAGAGAAATATTTAGCACAAATAGTTCTGCAGTCAGGAATCCAAATCAGTCTTCATCTATAGATGAAAAAAGCAGCGTCTTAAAACCCAGATATTGCACTTTTCAAACTGTAGCTGTTAGTGTGCTAAAATGTTAACGACTGCCTCAGTTTTAATATACACAAGTAAATATGACACATTCAAATGTAGACTCAATTACCAGATTAGCAATAGGTGGCCTTGGGCAAGTCAACTAGAGTTTCAATTCCCTTTACGCGATGTAAGAATGAGCAATCTCTTTTAACAGGATTTCTGCAAGATCAAGCACAAAATGTGGCTATTTTAAAGATGCATACAGTAGGCTGTAAAAATAAAATAAAAACTCTTCTACCTTTCAGAATACAAAACTGGCGGTGTTCTTGAATTCTTAGCTCAGGGCTCTTCAAACTTGGCCCTTTTATGACTTGTGGACTTCAACTCCCAGAATTCCTCAGCCAGGCACAAGTTGAAGTCCACAAGTCATAAAAGGGCCAAGTTTGAAGAGCCCTGTCTTAGCTGGTATAAGAAAGATTTTGCAAACCTACACAAGAAAACGAGACCTGACCGCCTCATTTCCAGACCATAAAACCTGCAAAAAGTTAAAACTACCAAAAAGAGTTACTAATTTGCTAGCTCAAGTTTCACATACCTGCTATCAATTAATAAGAGCATTAAAAAAATACGCAACCCATTTGCAACTCATTTGTAAGGATCCGTGTTTCATCCATTTCAGTCAAGCTTTCATTCCAAGGAATGTGTCAGAATCCACACTATTATTAAGAGTCTTCAATCATAGTTACTTTAAAATAGCTCTGAGGCAAAGAGGTATTTTACGAGGCTGCCACAAAGCTATGGTAAATAATCCCAAGACATTGCCTGCCTTTTGCTGTCAGTATTCGTGAGAAATCTTGTTAAATGTTGGAAGTGTTAAAACTATCTTTCAGAATAAGAGTGGGAAGGGACCTTGGAGGTCATCTAGTCCAACCCCCTGCTCAGGCAGGAAACCCTATACCATTGCAGACAAAGGGCTGTCCAGTCTCTTCTTAAAAGCCTCCAGGGATGGAGCATTCATAACTTCTGGAGGCAGGTGGTTCCTGTTTAAACTAAGCTTTCTGTCAAACTAATTTTAAAAAGACCAAGTAACTTCCTAAAGCATGTGTGTAAGCAGCGTCAAATGCAACAAAAGTGACTATAAGTTTGTAAGTGTGCTTTTAATGTATTATGGCACTTTACTGCTAAAGAAGCTGCTTCTATCAGTGGAAGGAGAGGACCAATCTCCTTCCCTGTTGTAATCACTAGCACCTTCAAGGATTGCACTAGAAAACTCCAGCAAATTTTATATTTTGACTAAATTTGGGGGTCAAGTGGAGCAGAAGAGAGCATTTACTGGTATACCGTTAGATTTCACTCTCTAACTGTGCCTCAAAAGACAACCAAGGGATATTTTAACAAGTAAATAAAATTAGTGAATCAAGTCTGGACGCTTTATAATAATAATAAAGTTGGAAGGGACCTCGGAGGTCATCTAGTCCAGCCCCCTGCTCAGGCTGGAAACTCTATACCAGTGATGGCGAACCTTTTAGAGACCGAGTGCCCAAACTGCAACCCAAAACCCACTTATGCATTGTCGGGTGCCAGGTGGGCATTGCCCATTAGGTGGGCGTGGCTGCAATGGTAACAGCAGACTGGGTGAGACTAAAAAGTTCAATCAATCAATTCCAACTCGGCAAGATCTTTTATTTCCTCCGTGAGAAGTTGAAATTGACTGATTGATTGAACCCCCCTTTTTTTTTTGCACATGGCGGCGGAGGCCTAAAGCGAAAAGGTTTTATAAAACCCAGCTGAAGGCCTAGGACTGGGGCGACGGCACGCGTGCCCACAGAGAGGGCTCTGGGTGCCGCCTCTGACACCCGTGCCGTAGGTTCGCCACCACGGCCCTATACCATTTCAGACCGATGGCTGTCCAGTCTCTTCTTTAAAACTTCCAGTGTTGGAGCATTCACAGCTTCTGGAGGCAAGCAGTTCCACTGGTTAATTATTCCAACTGTCAGGAAGCTTTCTAGAGATTGCTTTTGCCTTATCAATAATTGCAAATTGTCTTATTGATAACTGCAAATTGTCTATCTCCTACCTCATCCCTTTGGAGAGCACGCCTCATTTAGAACTCTTTCAAACAGAAGTTTAGCTGCTGGCCCTGTGAGTGTAACAGAAGGCGATTATAATCACGGTTTCAAAATGCATTTTCTTCATAATGGAAAAGGGGGGAAATAAATGACTCTGAAGGTGCATTCACTCAACGGAATTGCAATTTCCAACCAGAATCAACATTTCCTGTATCACCAGAATGATTTTATCCCATTCCCCAAATTAGCCCAGAAGCATAATTGTAGCCAACATCCTGACAAGAACACCAACCATTCCCAGAAACCATGCAGGTTTCTTATTAGTTCATCAATAGTCAGAATTTTGTATGATTCAAAAGACCAAATGCTTATTACCACTAAAAGACCTAGATAGGCGATACACACCTTAACCTCTGAAAGAAGCATCCCTTTTCAGGTGTTGATTAACTCATCTAAATGCAGGCAATTGTGTACTCTTTTGGTCACAACCCTGGCTTTCTGAAAGACAATATTTTTTTCTCCATTAATTGTTTACACAATATTGTAAGTGGCCAAAATCAAGAGAAAAGGCACACACACACACAAAAAAAGAAGGGACGGATTCCTTTCTTGGTGATATGCCACAGCTGCCCAAAACAATCTTCAAATCTCTCACCCAGAAGTAGCAGTATTTCAGAAAGAAGAGACGGAACTTCAAGTCTGTCTCTTATGTCTTATTACTGGCTTATCACGGGGAGAGGAAAAGGAAAGGGTAAATGGCATTTAAAAAAGCAAAACAAAAGGTATGCTCTATCCTAAAATACATAGTTTGGGTCCTTCCTTCCTTCCCTCTTTTCTTTCTTTCTTTCTTTTTCTTTCTTTCTTGAGACTATTTAACCATGGATATTTAACCCTCTCCTTATTTCAAGACCTAAAAGGGAAACCTTCCCATCTCACGGAGACCGCGATCCCTGTGCACTTTTGGAATCTTTTTTCCTACAGAGAAAAAATAAACAGGGCCAACCGACACCTGAACTATGCAAAGCCACACAATATCGACCCTAGTTACCAATACTGACCCTATTTTAGTCTCCTCCCCCCTCCTCCGTATACTCTGCTTGCACGGAGGTGGCTTTAAAGCAGTGGTTCTCAACCTTTTTAATGCCACAACCCCCAACCGGTCATAAGTCGAGGACTACTCAACTGGTGCAGCACCGTTTGCAGAATGGGACTTTTGGCAGGCTCAGCAGGGCAGAGACAGCCTGGACAATTCCTATTGGCTTTGGAAAGCCAATAGAATTAGACTCTATTCAAGAGAGTCTATTCTATTGGCTTTCAAAAGCCAATAGAATAAAAGGGAGGAGCACAGCTAAGGAAAAGGGGGGAAAAATGGCGGACTGCGTTGTTTGGCGACCCCCGTGAAATGGTTGTTCAACCCAAATGGGGTCCCGACCCACAGGTTGAGAACCGCTGCTTTAAACCCAACCGCCCTGCAAGAAAGCACTGGCCAAGATTGGAGGAGGAGGAGGAGGAGGAGGACGTTTCCATCCTTCCTCCTCTCTTCCCAATCCATGCCCGCCTGGATACAAACCGGGCCTCTGCAGAGGCTTCCGATGGCCAGCCCGATGGTCCTTGAAGAAGGGAAAACTCGGGAGGGGGGGATGACTTTGCAGGCCAGCTCCTGGGAAGCCCACGCTTTTCCTCCTCCTCCCTGTAATCTCCACTCCCTTCTAGCACTGATGATGTTCCCTAGTTGGGTCATGAAACGTCTGCAAGAAAACCACCAAACTCAGAGAGTACCAAGGACCCCACAGTCCTTTCTTCCTCCTCCTCCTCCTCTTCCCTGCAACCCCCCCTCCCTCCCTTCTAGCACTGATGATGTTACCTAGTCGGGTCATGAAACGTCTGCAAGAAAACCACCAAGCTCAGAGAGCACCAAGGACCCCACAGTTCTCCTCCCCTTTCCCCCTTCTCCCTATCCCCCCTGCAAGCCCCACTCCTTACTAACACTGATGATGTTACCTAGTCGGGTCATAAAACGTCTTCAAGGAAACAAGCAAGCTCAGAGAACACCAAGCCGCCCCCCCCCCCGTCGCCCTCTTTCCTCCTCCCACAATCCCCCCTCCCTCCCTATCACTGAAGAGGTTCCCTAGTCGGGTCATGAAACGTCTGCAAGGAAACAAGCAGACCCTCCCAGTCCTCCTCCTCTTCCCCCCTCCTCCCCAACCCCCCCCGTCCCTTCTAGCCCTGATGATGTTACACAGTTTGGCAACGAAACGTCTGCAAGAAAGCCACCAGGTTCAGAGGTAGCACCAAGGCCCCCACAGTCCTCTTTCTCCCCTCCTCCTCTCCACCCCTTCCTCCTTTTCTCCCCTCCCTCCTTCTCTCCCTCCTAGCCCTGATGATGTTGCCTAGTTTGGTAAGGAAACGTCTGCAAGAAAGCAATCAGGTTCCAAGAGCAGCAAGGACCCCACAATCTTCTTCCTCCTCCTCCTTTCCCCCCTCTTCCTCCTCCTCTCCCCTCCCTCCCTCCCTCCCTCCTAGCACTGATGTTGTTCCCTAGTTTGGCAATGAAACGTCTGCCAGAAAGCAATCAGGTTCAGAGAGCACCAAGGACCCCACCTTCCTCCTCCTCCTCCCCCCTCCCTCCCTCCCTCCCCTATAGCATTGGTGATGTTACCCAGCATGGCAAGGAAACACATGCAAAAAAAGCAATCAAGTTCAGAGAGCCCCAAGGACCCCACCATCCTCCTCCTCCTCCTCCCTCCCTATCACTGAAGAGGTTCCCTAGTCGGGTCATGAAACGTCTGCAAGGAAACAAGCAGACCCCCCCAGTCCTCCTCCTCTTCCCCCCCTCCTCCCCAACCCCCCCCCCGTCCCTTCTAGCCCTGATGATGTTACACCGTTTGGCAACGAAACGTCTGCAAGAAAGCCACCAGCCCCACAGTCCTCTTTCTCCCTTCCTCCTCTCCGCCCCTTCCTCCTTTTCTCCCCTCCCTCCTTCTCTCCCTTCTAGCCCTGATGATGTTGCCTAGTTTGGTAATGAAACGTCTGCCAGAAAGCAATCAGGTTCAGAGAGCACCAAGGACCCCATCATCCTCTTCCTCCTCCTCCTCCCCCCTCCCTCCCTCCCCTATAGCACTGGTGATGTTACCCAGCATGGCAAGGAAACACATGCAAAAAAAGCAATCAAGTTCAGAGAGCCCCAAGGACCCCACCACCCTCCTCCTCCTCCCTCCCTCCCTCCCAGCCTTGATGAGGTTACCTAGTGTGGCCATGAAACGTCTGCAAGAAAGAAAAAAAAAACCACCCCGCTTCCCCGGCCCGGCAGCAACCCCGCTGGGAGCCCGGGAGGCTGTCGCAGCAACCCCGCAGTGGCGGCGAGAGCGAGCCCGCGAGGGGGGGAGGGGAGGGGGGAGGGGCGCGCGCCCGACGCCCGAGGAGCGGCGAGGCTCCTGCAACGGGGGGGGGCGAAGGGGGGAGGGGGAGGGGAGCCGGGCGGAGGCTGCGCGGGCGGCCCCTCCCGCAGCCCGAGGCGCCCTCGCACGGGGGGGGGCGCGGTGGGCGGGGTTTCCCTCCTCCTCCTCCCCCCCTCCCCGTCGCTTTCATCGCCGCCCCTCCCCCCCCAGCCCGGGAAGGCCTGCCCCTCCCCCACCACAACAAAGCGAGGGCGCCACCCCCTCGCGCAGGCCGCGCCGCGCCGCCTCAGGCCGCCCCGTCGCTCCGCGGCCCAAACCGGGGCCCTCCCGCCGCGCCCGGCCGCCCCCGAGACCCACCTCCGCGGCCCCGAGCTGCGCCTCAGCCGCCCTCGTTCTCTCGCGCTTGGCCGCCCCCCCCTCCTCCTCCTCCTCCTCCTCCTCACGGCTCCGCGCCCGCCATTGGCTGCCTGGGCCCGGGCCGGCCCCGCCCCGCCCCCTCTTCGCTCCGCCCCGCCAACCCGCGCTCCGCGCCACGCCGTTGGCTGCCGCCGCCGTCCATCCCAGGCAGCGCCGTCGCGGAATGGAGGAAGTGGGGAAAAGGAGGCGGGGGCTAGTCCCCGACTACCTCTCCTTCCTCCCCCCTCTCCCCTCGCCTGCCGCCTATCGGGCCTGGCTTAAGCCCCTCCCCTCGCTCGCGGCGATTGGTCGTCGGGAGAAGGCCGCCCATGGCTCTGAGGCGAGGCGCGCTCTCTCCGCTGGGGGAGGGAGGAGAGCTGAGGAGGGCAGGAGGGAGCTGCGGATTGGCCGCGGCGCGCATCAAATCAACCCTCGGGGCTCTGCGTCCCGCCTCTTTCCCCGCCCTCCTCTCCGACCCGAGTCCGGAGAGGGCTCCGCAAAAAAAAAAAAAAAAAAAAAATCGGGTTCATCCGCGTGTGGATTCCTTCCTCCCTCCCTCCTCCGCGGTAGTTCCGATAACCTTCCGCGGAGCAGGAAGAGAAGAAATAGTCCCGGCCAGCGCCACGTCCCAAAATCCAAATTATTTGAGAAAAAAAACAATAAAGGCTGTTTCTCTTCTCTTCCACCCACAGAAAAGCCCCTTCTGGTCCCCGAATTAATTTCTTTTCCTCTCAGAAACGTTGCGCTTTCTCACCTCAGCACCACGCCCAGGTGTGAGGGGGGGAAAGGCAGACTTTCTCCAAATTGAATGGGGAGACTCTTGCAGCTGAACCTTTTATTTTGTTATTGCAATAAAATAGTCTGGTGGTTGCACGGAGGGAGTTGTGCAACTGTGTTTTACACGTCTTGCATTCATGCATGCATGCATTTGATTGTGTGTGTGTGTGTGTGTGTGTGTGTGTGTTACGCAACCTCAACACCAGAGATATCCAAATGGTGGAGTGTATATTAATTGGCCCAGCTTTCTTTTCTTTTTCTCTGCAATGCAAAAGTCGGCATTCAAAAGGCTAACAAAGCCAAATCCAGAGGGCTTTATTATTATTATGTTGGTTTTGCACAACCTTTTAGCCAGGTTTGGCTGACCCACGTTGACCCACGATGGGGAACTGAGTTAGGAATTCATTAGGGATTGTGGGTTGTTGTTTTTTTTTCTTTTTTTGTGGGTAAGTGAGTTGTGCAAACCTCCATCTTGGTTAGTTGCGGCTCAGTGTCCTGGGCGAACCCAGAAAGTGGGTTGATCCAGCATCCAAGTTTAGCACGTGTGAATGCGCTGCAGGATGATGTGAAGCTGGTTTGGACAGGGATGCTAGCCAAAGGAAACCTTTCATTTGTGCAACCCCAAAAACAAGGTTATTGCAAAGGTCACAGACCTCCCTCCCCACCCCCATCCAATTTTCAAGCAGTCAGTAATAATACTTATTATTTTTTTATGTTTAGTCAATTGCAAAACCTAAAGGACCAGGTTAAGGCTAGATTGTCATGGAGAAAAATCTATCTAGCTGGTCATTAGGAGTGAAAAACGACTTAATGGCTTAGAATCAACAACTGATCATGTTATTATTCATAGGCAAGGCAAGGGAGGGGGATTGCAATCCACATTTTTAATGCATTTTAATGATTGAGCTTGCCTTCAAAAATCCTGGGTGTTCCATCCCTGGAGATTTTTAAGAAGGGACTAAAAAAATCACCTGTCTGAGATGGTATAGGATCTCCTGCTTGAGCAGGGGGCTGGACTAGAAGACCTCCAAGGTCCCTTCCAGGCCTATTCTGATTTATTGATTCATTGATTGAATTAACTAATGGAACAGCTTGCCACCAGAAATCGTGGGCGCTCCATCACTGGAGGTTTTTAAGAAGAGACTGGACAGTCACTTGTCTAAGATGGTGTAGGTTCTCCTACTTGAGCGGGGGGCTGGACTAGAAGACCTCCAAGGTCCCTTCCAGCTCTATTCTATTCTACCCTATTCACAGTACTGACTTCGGTGATGTACCAAAATCATCAGTTGTTAAGAATCTCAATAAGAAATGCCCAAGGTCAGAAACAGCAAATGCCAACTTACAATAAAAACATCACCCAGAACACTGTACTTATAGCCCCCGTTTTCTTTTTCCTTTGTCTTCCACTGTTCCTTTGGGGGAAAAAAAGAGATTTCAGGTAGTCCTCAGTTTACAACAGTTCATTTAGTGACCATTCAAAGTTACAACGGCATTGAAAAAT